AGGGCTTAGCAGGTTCCTTCTGGCTGAATGTGCTAGGTTATCCCTGGCGACCAGAACTGGATGTTTGAAGTCTCTGTCATATGTCACTCTAGAGCAAGTAAACTGCCACAACGATCCTCAACTCCAACCTCTGATTCCTCGAATCCAGATTTTCCCCCTCCTTTCCAGATCCTTGGACAAGAAACCAGCCTCTCCTTAGAATCTGGCTGTTCCTTTTTGTATTCCTGACTACAGACAATTAAAACCGTGGTCATTACCCACCTGCACAGGCTGTAGGCGACAGCTGTGTGAAATCTGTGAACCCTCTCGGTAAGCATCACTGGTAATTCGGTGCCAGTCAGCTGTGCGCGCGTGTTATATTAGCAGTGCCGTGAGGAGACCGTTCCAGAGAGCTTGTGCCCCTCCGTCCTTAGTCCTCCTTCAAAGACTCTTCTCAGGTGGAAAAATGGTCAAATCTGAAATGAGTAAGGAAGAGGGTCCTTGCAAACTCTAAGTCCCAAATTTAGTTCTAAAACAAAAGTAGAACCGAGACATTTGGGGGAAGTCAGAGGTCAACTACTTACTCGCCCAACAGTTAACAAGAGAGTAGTTATTTCTATGAGCTGAATGGATGAATTTTGGCCAAAAAGTCAGCTTTCAGCCCAAGAAGGTCAAACTTGTTAAGGCGATTTGAAGGAAATGCAGGTTTCGCTGGCAATAGAGGCTCCCGGGTAGGACTGGTTCGGGGACAGGTCCTAAATAATCTCTGCGGAACTGGGTTTCTTATCTCCAAGGTCACAGAGTGCTTAACTAACATACCCTGAGTCTAAATAATCTCTGCGGAACTGGGTTTCTTATCTCCGCCAAGGTCACAGAGTGCTTAACTAATACACCCTGAGGCCTGGGAAAGTCACTCTTAGAGGACTATACTAGCGTTTAGTACTAGGATTTATGTACAAAGTCAACAGAGAATTTAGACGGGATCTGCTGCTTTACCCGCTGTGGCCACCAGAGGGCACCCAAAGCCCAAGATTTTGTTCATTTAAAAACCTGCCTGAGCCCCTTCTCTAAGCTTCCAGACTTCAAACGAAAGCTCACCCGTCTCTATCCTGGAGTCCTCCACTCTGCTCAACAACGGCTCATGGTCACGGCCTCTCTGATGCAGGAGGAAAGTAGACTGAAATGCAAAAAGAGGGAAAGGCAAAAGTCCTTGCTTAAGGGGGCCCTTCAGCTCAGCCAAACCTTGGGGGCCCCCTCCCACCCTGCCCTGCGGCGCAAGGCCCGCTGGGCTGAGCAAATCTTTGGTGTATTCTGTCACCGGCTAACTCAGACCCTACTCACAAGCATTCCTATAAAGGAGTCTCCTGCGGGTAAGTGGTTTTCTTGCAAACTTAGGGGGCGGGGCCTTGCAGGTGGTGCATAGGTGAGAGTTTTAGGGATGCAGGAGGACCGGAAATTGAAGAAGAAAGGTTAATAGTCAATAAAATGGGATCTCCTGTGTGGAAATAAAGAGGAGTAAGAGAACTGGGCAAGGTACATAAAGATGCCCAGCCCTTAGGGCTGGAGTTCATGCAAAGAGCAGAATGATGCACTTTAAGAAGATGACTATAATTACATTTGTCTTTTACACTGCTGTTTATTGTTTGCTATTATTAAGTATACGGTAAATTTAGATTTGGGGTAAAGTGCTTCAGTTAGCTCTGCTAAGGGAACCCCAAGAAAAGATCTTAGATTTTCCATTATGTGAGATCTGTTTGTAATAGGGGAAGAACAGCCAGCCGTATGATGAATTGGCGTGGTGAGTCAGCAAACTGAGAGTGAGTGAGCCCAGGGGCACAGTAGGGCAGGCAGGGACTCTCTTCGGTCCATTTGAAGAGTTATGGATTTTTCTTATGAGATGGATTCTATTACTTATAATTAACCTCTATAAAGCGAATCTGTCTGGTTCAATTTTACCTTTCAAACCTTGACTCTCCCTCAAAACACAGTGTTTGCCTCATACTTTGCCATGATTTGGTCTGGTATATCAAAAGCAGGTGAAGCCCTCCCCAACATGCTCATTCACAGATATCTTTCATTTGCTTTTGACTCTTTTAATTTCGACCCTGGAAAATTATCTTCCAAACCACATTTTCCGTACGAATGCTTTTTACCCCCCAAATATGGGCTCCTCAAAAATAAAAATATTTTATTCTCTCCCTTTAAATGGTCACAGTTTCTTCCTCACTTTCTTTTCCAAAAAAAAAAAAAACAACAAAAAACCACATCTTACAATTTCTCTAACAACAACAACAACAACAACAACAAAAAACCACATCTTTCAATTTCTCACACAAAGGCGGCTTCTCTTGTTGCTGACTCTGTTTCCTCTTCAACCTTATGGTGTCGCTTGGAATCAGCGAATTCCCTTCAACTGTCCCCCTCTTTGTAATTCAGAGTTTCTTCATTCATCACGATCCACAGAAAAGCATTTTGATCCATAAAATCTTTGCAACAATACCACTTCCCTTCCAAACCTGGCCCCACGTGGCACTTATATTCTTCTCATGGCTGATGGAACTCTGCTTCTATCGCTTTCAGCATCCTCACTCATTCTAACGTTCTAGGAAAGCTTGCTACCCAAATTTTCCTTTGTGTGCGTATATCCATGTTTGAACGAAATTCTCTGAGGAAATGCGTATGCACCATGCATGCTCGCACACACGGGACCTGTCCTTTGTCCCTTAACTTCAGTGATGTCTAAGGCTTGGTTAGGTCAGTCTTTTCATCTATGCTAGGTATTAAGTGTACAGATTTTTTTATTTCGGTTTCTTTCTAGACCAAGAAAGCCATCACATTTAAAAAAAAAATTATGACATGTTAAAAGCCGGTCAGACCTAGTTTCTCCCGGTCTGTTGTTATCATGCGGAAGCTTCCAAGGGTTCCTGGGGATCAGCTTAAATGCAACCCCAGCAAGTCCCTGGACACATTTCAACACCGAGGAGAGAGCTGGGGGCAGTCTGAGCCACGTCGCTTCTACTGAGCACTTTACACCATTTTCCTATCTCAGGGAATAAGACGATTGGAAGAAATATTAGCAGTAACCTACTTTTCTTCCCTGATCTCTAGGGAAAAAAAAATATATTTTAAAGCCTTTAAAACTGCTTGATATATCTAGCTCTCTATCATATGTATTTTCTTGTTTGCCTCTTCATGAGTAATGGAGTATAATTAGTCACCATCCTCCACATAGCTTACATGTGTTATTTTATCTTTTTAAATTTATGCTAAACACTGAAAAGATAACTTGGTTAGACAACTATTTAAATATGTGGACAATTTTCTTATTATGATGATTTTAACTATTATTTTATTTTCTTATTAGTTTGTAAAACAAAGAATAAATATAATTTTCAAGTTCTAAAACTTCAGTGTATTTCACTGGAAAGAGAATGTCATACTGGGGGTAAAACTCAGTTACCCATTTATTTGCTGTGTTAAATCTTTTCTGAATGTTAATATTATCATCAGCAAAATGAAAAAAATATTACCAAATGGAGTGAATGTCATGAAAATTAAATAAGATGATATATGGCAAGGACATAGTAGCGTCTGAAAGCTATTAGACTAAATGTCCTTTTTCTTTTAATGGATCCTAAATATAATCCATCATATAACCCCACAACATGCCTTATGGCAATATTGTTCATGGCCATGGTGAAGGCTTGGGACTAAGTATCAAAAAAGACAGAGAAAAGAGAAATTCGTCCCTTTTTTCCTCCTGACTACCTGCTGGAGCTAGAACATCTCACCTCATCAACTGCCTTGACACAGAATCACACCATCAGCTCTCCTGGGTCTCCAGTTTGCAGATGGCAGATTGTGGCACTTCTCAGTCTTTATAGTCATATGAGCTAATTTCTCATAGTAGATTAATATCTCATTCTCTCTCTCATATATATATATATATATATATGTTACATAAATAAATATATTTTCTGTCTCTCTGGGTAAATCTAACATAGGTTTTAATATAATTTATTTAATTGTAAATCTATGCAGGTTGATTTTCAGTAATGGCTGTGTTTCACAACCAGCTCGTAACATTCCTAAAGACTGAGCCATTGGCACTCACGAGCCAGGACTCGCTGTCTGCAGCCCATCACTAGCTATAACCTTTGCAGCTCAGGCAGTTTTACTATAAGAAGCCTCTACCGGAGCATGAAGTGGTGGGGATTGGGGGGGAACATGTTTAAAGAAATGCTTTTTCCTTGGAGAAATTGGCTGGAAGTTTGTATCAGACCCATGGACAGCAGAGATATTGATAAAATATTGTCTGTCAGGGACATCTGACATGCAGCTCCCGCGGTGACACTGGTAGAGGGCCAAACCCACCATTAACAGTGACGCAAGGAAGCGGGAGGCAGCCAAGACCAGCAGTCGGGGCTTTCAAGAAAGCCATTCCTTTCAAAGCCCAAGTTTTCAAAGTGTGTCTAAGTTCCCAGTCTCCCAGCACAAGCATCACTGGAAATCTGAGTAATTTCTGTGAGTAATTGTTAAAAAGTATTTAGAGAAAGAAACTTCAGAGAGAAATCTAGTCCTCTTGTGTGACTGGCTTCAAGTCATTTCATTTTAAGCATTAAAAGGAGATGTGACTTTTTTCCCTCATTTCCACACTTAGCACAGACCTACAACAGAGCTTAAAAATACTGATTTTTGAAAACGACCACGCAGAAAATCCCCCCCAAATTGTGTTTTTATTCATTAACATTATGATTCATTAAATCAATAGATGAATAAAGCATTCCTTGATGGTTGAGTTAAAATGTAAGGAATGCAGACTTCTCAATATTAATATTACATGTGATGGTGAAAGGATTATACACGATAAAATCAAAATGTTTATATTTAATAAGTCTTGATATGGTATAGAAAAGTACCACACTTCTAAGAGCATAGCCAGTAAAAGACAGAGAAGTAATAACGCATGAACTAAAGGCTTCACTTAGCAAGTGATTTTATTTTTTTCATGGGCTATAACTGATAAAATGAAAATGGGGTTAAAATAAAAGTCATTTGTAGTTTTACAAGCCTGGAGTAACTCTGCATGTAATTCAGCCGTACATTTTAAAGTATTTTGGTCTAGAGCTAATTTCTTTTGTTTTGCAAAGAGCAGAGCTAAGCGATAGCTTCATGATCCTTAAAAATATACTGTAGATCAGGTCTTAGAAAACGGGCAACTTCTCTAAGCACATCTATTCACCTATTGGCTGGACTGGAAAAAATATAGAAAGGATAATGACAAATGAAAAGCAAAATACATCTAAGTGCAAAGGCGAAAATACACAAGAATCCAGTATGTTTAGATTTCTTGATTCTTGTCCTGGCAGGTAGCAGCTCAGTGAAGTAGATTTTTTCATTCACTCTCTGGTCAAAAGGAAAAAAAAGTTTGGAAACCATGGTTAATATGAATTATAAAATGTTATGTAATAATGATAACATTTATAGAGTTTAAATAATACTAACAACCCTACTGAGAGACAATATCATTACCTCCATTTCACGGGTTAGAAAACTAATTACATAACTTGGCTTAAAGTCCCTCAGCTCATTTTGGGCAGAACAAAGAAAAGAATTAAAGTTTCCTGAGGCCAGGTCCAATTTTCCTTCCATGATACAAAATCACTAATCTTTCCCAGTAATGGGGTTTGCCCACCTATCATTCCAAGCCCCTAAAGAGTTGAATGGATATTTTTTGAGATGCTGTGCTCCAGTCTCTGTGACAGAATTAGAAGATGGGCACAGTTTCTAGAATTTCCTGCAGAATGGATCCCACCAGGGTATCAGCTGTGTGAGTGGTGCCTTATAAATAAATGAGCAGTGTTCCTTGTCTATGACCTTGCCGGTCTCTTCCTGAGAGAGTGATAGTCAATGGTGTTTGACAATTGTTCCCTTTATAACCTCTCTCCAGTTTCAATCCCAGAAAATATTCAGGAAATAGGAGTAGAGATAACTGCTTCCATATAATGTATCCTGAGTCTTTCCCCTACTTATGATGTGTTGTTGTTATTACCATTTTTAAATTCAAAGACTATTTTTCACTGAAATGAATACCATATTCAATGCAAATGGGTTCCCTAGCCCAATTCATAGAGGATTGTATAAAACACACACAAAAAATGTCAATTATAGTTTACTGAAACAGTCTAAAAGGAATACAGTTTTGTTCATATTTCTGCATCCCCTTCCCCTCTGGCGACCATCAGTTTGTTCTCTGTATCTACGAGTCCGTTTCTGTTTTGTTTTGTTTGTTCGAAGGGGACTAAGAGGTGCAAACTTCCAGTAATAAAATAAATAAGCCCGTGGATAATAATGTATGTACAGCATAGGGACTATAGTCAATAATACTGTAATAACTTTACAGGATGCCAGACTAGATTTATTGCGAGATCACATTGTATATAAATGTTGCATCACTATGTTGTACACCTGAAATTAATATAATATTGTATGTTAACTTTTAATAAAAATGAACAATTAAAAATAAAATAAAAATTTTAGTAAAATAAAAAAGGAATAAAACAATCAAATCTTATAATGTGTTCTTACATGTTATTGATTTCCTGACTACCTTGCTCTACAAGTATCAGCTCTTAACCAAGAATAAAATTTGCTCAACAATCAAACCTTTTTAAAAACAAACTTTTCTTTCTCTTATCTTAGTTCCTATTAAAGTCATCACTACCTAACAGAAATCTATACAATTTTTAGTGCAGATTTCAGCAGTTATAATCTCCCAGATGACAAATTAGCCATTTTCTCATTAGCATATTAGTATACATACAACCTTGAGTAATTTATATTTATAATGATTTTTGTTTTCCTTTCTGAAATTGTGTCATTTTAAAAATTTCTTTTCAAATGTATTACAGAACACAGTGGCACATCTTTCTCAAATCTGAAATAAAAGTGAGAAAATATTTGACAGCAAAGACAAAAGCTCAAGGTCTCACGTGATATCGTTAAGACTATTTTCTCTACAGTCAGCTTCCGGCTTTAACTTGCAGGTCCTGGCCTCACAGCAAGCACTCCTGCATTCCTTTAAAGCACAGACAATAGGAAAGTGGGTTCAGCATTGTTTTCCCGCGTAGACTAGGTACATGCAATGTTGGTACAAGATGGCAATACAATGTTAGTTTTTAAACTCAATTACTCTGCTTTACAAATTGCAGTGGAAATGACCAAGTTAATAATAAGAAAAAAAATGTTAGGAGTAATGAAAACGACTTCTCAAAAAGCCAGAAATAGAGTTACTCAAGAACCACCTCAAATAAATTTGGCCTATAATACATGTAAATTAATACATGTAAATTAATTTAAAACCTTAAGGGAGAATATTTCTATACTATTAAAACTGTTTGAACATAGAGGAAAAAATATTTTAAATCTTCACTTCATTTTACCAAGCCTGCATAATTCTGATAATGAGAACTGGTAATGAATACAAACACACACACACATACACACACACACACACACACACACATACATATACAATTTACATTTATGAATATAAATGTAAAAACTTGAAAATATTAGTAAAATACCACTTTATTCATATAATAACTCTTCATTACAACTATGCAGCATTCTTTTGTTTGTTTGTTTGTTTGTTTACCAAAAATGCAAGGGTGTCTCAACTGTACAGAATAAAGTAATATAATCCATCATATTAGGAGACTAAGGGGAAAAAACAACCATTATTGTGATAGATGGGAAAAAATTAGTTGGTAAAAACTCAGTGGCCTTTATTGAATTTTTTAGGCATATATAAACAAATTATAAACAAAATTATGAATCATCATGATAAAAAAAATCTATCTAATAGCAAAGGCATATCCAATAAAATAAGAAATAAGAATTATTTATAGTCTATATTTGTATGGAAATTCTGACCAGTGCTATGAGACAAGAAAAAAATATAAAAGTGTAATAATTGGGAAGTATAAATCACGTTCCATTATTTGTATGTGATAAAATTCTTGACCTGGAATAAATAGAGGATCAACTCAAAAAAATAGTGGGCGAGTCACTAAGATAGCTAGCTGGTTAAGATAATAATCAAATAACATAAAAAGCAATAATAAATTAGAACTTAAAATAAAGAAAACCTTACATATAGTAATAGCAAAAATGTATACATATAAAATATTTCAGAATAAGATTTCAAAATGTGCCAGAATCACATGAAGAACTTTATACATAATTTTCCTGAGAGACTTCCAAAGCAAATTGTCTTTTAAGACCATGCTTAATATTGTGAACATGGTAGTGGCCTCCAGAGTGAAATATGAATTTAATGTATTTCATTCAGACTCTCAATTGTATTTTTGGGCAAACTGACCAAAAAAAAAAAAAAATACTACGAGTTATATGGAAGCATTAATGCTAAAGAATTGCTATGTAAATTATGAAAAAAAAAATTGTATGTCGATGAAGAGAGTTACCATTAAAGATATTAAAATGCATTGTATAATTACAATTATTAAAAACATATAATGTTTGTGTTATAATATCTAGACACATAGAATGATCATTTTAAAAACCTAAAAAAAGACCTATATCTGTACATAAAAATAATAAAATGGCATATTAGATCATGGGAAACTGGATTATTTGCTAAAGGATACTCTAAAGTATATAAGCTATGTATGGCATTTGCCTGCTGAAATTAAAAGTACCTAAGATTATGAACAACTTCAACTGTTTCCACCCAATAAATGATCAAGAAAGAATGAGATAAACTTACATTTAATTTATTATAAAGTATCAAATCATTTCTAAAATTCTATCTTATAATTATTAGAATATTGGCAATATTCTTCATAAAAGATTAAGTTATAATAGTAATCTTCTAATATAATTAAACAGCTTGGAATTTCTAAATAAAATGAAGCACAGAGAGATTATGTGCTTTCCTCTTTTTAATAGAGCCTCTTAAAGTAATGGATAAATCTTGGGTTGCAGTGGGTTTCACCCATTACCAGCTTTTTATCATTGGAACTAGCTCCTTAACTTTTCTGAGTCTCACTGCTTCTTCTCTAAATTGGGATGAAAACAAAACCTATTCTGTCAGTTTGTTGTGAGTAATAAAAGAAATGATGTATATAAAAGCATTTTGCAGATTGACACATAGAATATCTCTTCAAATATTAGCCTTTTGTTGGTCTTAAAAGTAAATGAAAATTGCTAAGAAAATAGAATGCTCTCTTAAAAACTTAGTACGGGGTTGCTAGCAAATATTGCATCAGAAAGATTCTTTAGAGTACACTGGTGCCTTGAAGGGTTCAGATTTTATAAATATTAGCAGAATTATATGCTCTGTGTTAGTAACCCATTTTCTACAGGTGCAAGTAATTTTTTTTTCTCTTCTGTTTTATTTACTGCCTGGTTTACACATTGGCTTGATGAGAGACGACCAACTCTCTCTATGCAGAGAATTAATTTCTTGATCTGTAATTATTATTGCTCAACTGATGATCAATTATGCCTTTATGTGATTTAGGAATTTCTGACTAATATACCTACGAAAAATCATAAGTGACATGTTGTAGTTAATGATTTACTTCTTTACATTGAACTTCATACAGTCATGCCATAAGCATATCCTGGCTTTTGAAATGCCTTTCAAAAGACGACAAAAATCAGTGCCAAAAACACATATGCAAGTCTACCGTTTACTATAATGCCAAACTTGTGTCTTCAGAATTTTCAAAAGAACATTTTTTAAAAAAAGAAAAAGGAAACATGCCATAATCACTCTCTAATAAGTATTTTAAACTGTGAATATTTTCAAACCTTAGGAAAGCCACAGTCACATTCTTCTCCCACTTCCAGAAGTTGGTTCCCACACACTGGCTTTGTTATTATATTTGCAGGAATTGGTGCTTGCAGCAGGCACTTTGGTTTTTGAGATGAAATGTATCTTTCAAAACTTGAGCGGCAGGATGTACTGAAATCCTTTGGGAATTTTGAACTGTGTCCAGAAGAAAAATCATAAATACCATGATAAATGAATGTGGGAATCTAACTTGTCTAACATTATTACCTGGTTCAGTAGAAATTCCAAATTTAGTTTCTGTTTAGGACTGCACTGTGTTATATGTGGAAGGTGACAGAGCATGCCTACCAGGCTGGTTGGAAAAACGTTTTCCTAGACACTCAGTTGTAGAGCTGGAAGAATTTAAATTCCTGCATGGATTCAGCACTCTCTAACTGGCAGCACTGATGAGCTTCGCCATTTGTTATCATTAAGAGACTGAGAGGTAAGTGATAATAACAATAAACTAGTGAAAGGACATAATTGCAGACTTAGAGTTTCTATGAACATATTTCTTTTCCTATTCATGAGTATTGCAAGAGCAAGGTATGTTTTATTCCTTTTTTTAAATCCCAAGTCCTTACAAAATGTTCGGCATTGGAAGGTAATTAATAATAACATGACAAAAGGATTGATTGATTGGCAATAGGGATAATTGTCATCATCTTAATTAGATAAATATTTTTAGAAAATATATTATTTAAAGTTAAAATTATTTTAAGTTAAAATAACATGGTCATCATACTTAAGCTCTATTTTGGTATTTTTTGGACATTTTAAATAATGAGCCCTGATAGCTGGTAAAACTTGTGCATCAAGAGGCTGGAGGGTGAATTAATGGGATATGCAGCCCTTGGTAAAAAAAAAAAAATGCCTATCCAACTGTATAGACTATATCTGAATTCTTGGATGACAAGGTCTCACCTCAGATATTGATTCATCACACAACTCCCAGAAGGACACTTGGTGTAAAACGGAACATCAGGCATACCTAAGACATGACCCAACTCATGTGACATCACTGCTACGAGAGCCACATTTTTCTTTTTTTTAGCCTGAAAAGAAATAGAAACATCTATTACTTCTTTTTTTATTCAGTTAATTCTTAACTGTTGCCAATGTTCAGTAGTTTGACAGATAAAAAATAGTCATTTAGTCCCTTTTCCTGTCATCAGTTACTGTAAAATGTTGAATAAACATTTAAAATGATTGACTCTCATGAATCCAACCATCAAGTCAGTGCTCAATCAAAAATTTGCTGAACTAATCATAAGTTCTCTGTAAACCATGGTTAAATTAAAGTAAATACATTCTTCGTAGGATGCGAAGATACCATAAGATGTACTCGAAGGCCTCCAAAACCTGTAGCAATAATGCCTATGACATTGGTAGTGCTTGACCATGTCATACCAACATGCACCTGTCTGACCTCTCTGGCCATCGATACGATGATTAATTTGAAGTTGGCTCAGACCGCAGAGGGGACTTGTATTCCCTTTCTCTTCTGATCTTCCTGTTCTTACACCCTAACACCAAGTGAGGCGGGTAGCCTTCTAGGAAGACAAATGTAGTGAAATATTCTTTTTCACAATCCAAGGAACCTTCAGTATAATGGGCTACTAGTAGTTTCATTTCTACTTTTATTTACTGCCTCAGCAAATGTTCATTGTCCCAACTCTATACAAGGCATTATGTTGGTCTTTGCAGAGGATATAGAAGCATAGGAAGCCTTACTATAAGTTTACAAACCTCTATAACAGAAACCGAAGATGGAGAGCACAAGGAATTCGAGGCTGCCATTCCTACACGTCGGTTGCTGAATTCAATTCCACTGTGTGAAAATTACAGGTACATTGTCACAATCTGAGTCTTAGGAACCATTAGTTTTGGCCAATTATGTTTTAAATTTCCCTTGTTTGCTCCACCCTTTTTATATTCACTAGGCCCCAGAAAAGCTTCTGTAGTTCTATAGCATTATAATGACCACAGATGGTCACCCCACATCCAAGAGTCCATTTTAGTGATCTGATACGGGTCTCCGATAATCTCACAGGTGAATTGTTAGTGGTAGAACTTCAGGCTCCCTGACAACTCATTGGGGGAGATATAATTGAACAGTAGTCGCTACCAAGAAACCTTTACAATAACTATCCACTCTGCCTTCCTATGCCTGGCCTTGGCCTGTGTGTGCTCACCTGAGTAGCTGAGTATGGTCATGGACCTTCATTTTCCTCAGGTTAGAACGATGCCAGTTCACAAAGTTGTTAAAGGTGATGCCTGTGTTGGGTACCACCTTTATCTTATCACCATCAGACCATATTTCCATACCAACCAAGGCAACTTGAACATCTATGGTGTTATAAATCTGTGGGAAGAGCATTTTTCTTCATAAAAATTTTTGAGATGTCTTTAGTGTTTTTGATCCTTTGCTGACCACAAGTGATAAATAAATATATCCCATTTTGAAAACAGAAATCCTAGAAGTTGCCTTTGATTTTACCTTGATGTTCATCCTTATCTGCTAAATTTCCCCAAACCGTTGATGTTAAGCCATTGTGATCCTCCCAACTCCTTATTTGGTGAAACCATAGGAAGGCCCCAGGCTCCCATGTGGAAACGCATGTTTACAGGACAAATGTCTTACCACATTGAGTAGGTTCATCACATCAAACACAAAACTTCTTATCAAAGTTAGATTCCCCTTATATATGTTATACTGTAAAATACAAAATGCAAATTATAATTAAAACAGCAAATTAAAGCGAGAAGCTGATGGGGCATAGAAGTCTACATGTTGAGAAAAATTATATATATCACTGTAAATAAGTGTCTATTCATTCCATGTCTACCTTATATACTACTCTGTGTTTCAAGTCTGTGTTTCTATTTAAGATGTAAATATTTTTTGGTTAAAGAAAAATTAAGCATTCATATAAAATTTCAGTGTTATTCATTTTTACACTGAATAAATCAAATTAACAATGTCGATGTTTTTAAACAAATTCAATAATATTAAAATTTGATTACAAAGCGATAATTGCTAGTTAGAATCACAGATTCCAGCAGTTTTTGTATATGTAAATATAATTTGTAAAGTATGTATAGTTTTATATTTACTTTATATTTACATACAAAGTAGAATTTGTAAAGCAAATACGGCAAAAATTTAACAAAATATTTTAATAACCCATTCCTTTTTTTGGTTTGTTTTTCAATATTGTAGTTGACTTCCTGTAGTTATCTGATTTTAAGTATATTTTCAATATCTGAATATTTTGGTAGCAGATGGATTCTAAAGCAGTGGGTGAGTGAAAACTATTGCTGGCAAGGCATGTAGAGCAGAGAAAACAATCAGGTGAACAGGCTAGAATAGTTTATAGCTTGTGTTCGCTTGATAAGAAAACTTAAAAGCTGCCTTAGCTGGCCAAGAAGCACACACATTTATACTCACGAAAGCATTATCCAGCACCAAAAAGAGATCAATGTATTTTTCAGCTTGAAGAAAGTCTTCTTGCTTTACAAAGTGTAAAAGAACATTGTTAATGATTATCTTCATCCTAAAAGATTAAAAAGCTTACAAAAAGATTCTTTTTTTTTTTTTTTCAGAGAGAAATTATATTGAAGGATAAGTAAATATCCTGGCTTTACCTTTATCTATACCAGTCATTGCTGAGCACACTAGTCTGTCATATATCATCGCTGAGACAACTGAATAAATATGACATTGGAATGCTACACTTACCTCTGGGCTTTCGAGTGACCTAGAGGCTCGAATAAGGCCGTGTTTCTTGCCAACATTTCTTACACCACAGGTGTGATTAGCTGAGTCTAGCTCCTCCTGGTTATCTGCGAGGACAGCATGTTCTTCTTGGTCTGTGCTTTTCAGAGGCTTTATCATATACCTTTGATCATGATGTGTGAAGTATCCCCTGTGAGATTCAGAGATTCATGTTTGAGAATTCTCTGCCACAGAGTCACATATACTGACCAAAATAGAGTGACACCTCTTCCTCCATCCCAAGCTCATACATACAGTTTTTCTTCATAGGCTTTTGGCTAACTTTTGCTAACATAAGTTACAATCAGTATTTATCGATACTAAAATAGAGCTTACATTATTTTCTCAGAGAATTGTGAAGAATTACTAAGATGAAGCTACTCAAAGGATTTGAAATTTACAGCATGAGCTCAATAAATATTTGTCCATAGTTTATTTATACATTTAGCAAATATCTCTTGGCAAGGAATAAAATGGAAAACAAAATAAAAGAGTGTGTAGATTTTAAGAATCCCAGAGGAGAGAAAGAATAACGAGCAAATTGGCCAAAGGAACAGTATGGAATCAGTAGCTTAGAGAATTTCTCTTCTTAGTAAGAAAATTAATTCAGAAATATAAAGTGAATCCATATAATGGAATATTATGAAGCCAACACAACCATTAAAAATTACATCTCTGAAGGTATTTTATAATATGGGAAAGGCTTATAATGTCATGTGGCATAAACCATGTTGAAAGAACAATTATGTGTATTTTATTTCATATTTCAACCGTGTATCAGATATATTTGTCTATATGCATACAAGCCGGTGAACATGATAAAATGTTAATAAGAAATCATGGAGGTAAAATTTCATGGTGATTATTTTCTTATTTGTGCTTTTTTTTTTTAACTTTCCAAACCTTCCCTTATTGGCAAGAACTACCTTTGTAAAGAGACGTACCACACACACGCATGCATGCACGCACGCACGCACACAACTTTAAAAAATTACATTTCACCATTTCAATTTCAGAGTAGAATTCTTAAGAAAATAAAAAAGAATGTTTTCTGGGAGTGGGGTGAATAAACGTGGAAATGGATCCAGATATCGAGGTCCAGAGTATAGCATTTTGTTTATTCTTAGGACTGAATTCTACTAGAGAAGCAGATTATGAAATGATTGCAAGAGTGATATTTTATTCTTCACATTAACCACATATATTCAGCATTTTATAGATGGAGGAAATTTTACCAAGATAATAAGACATTATGTCCAGGAAGACTCATTCTGTGTAACAAAATGGTGCTTAATGTTTAATATTTTGAGGAGTAGTTCTTACCTCAACCCATTACAAGTACTAATGCTGGCGACAGAATTCTTTTCATTCAGGATATATCCTTTATAGTAGCACTGTTCCTAAGGTTGGGAAATAGAAAAATAAAATAAAATAGTTACAAGAATAAATGTATCATAGTAACAGTAAAAGCTGTTATCTTGAATATATATGAAAATTCTTTGAGTAGCTGTGGCCAGAGCAGTTCCCAGAAATGAAAATAAGGAGAACCTCAAAGGTTTTAATAACTGCTCCCCAGCTGACCATGGAAACTCTCCATATTAGATGGCTGAGCTGTCTTTCTGGCACTAATGTACACTAAAGTCCAGGGGCACTGAGTCTAAGTGGGCGCATGGTGAAAGTGGACACTGCATCTGAGAAGTAGCCAGCTCCCCTGGGATCTCCAGTACTCTGAAGAGCTCTCAGATTTGACTCTCTTGTGCTGAGTTCCTAAGACACTATCCATCACATATCCATAAAATGGGGTACACACTTTTCTGAATTTTAGAGTCCTCAAGAGGCTGCACGACTGCTCGTGGGCCCCTCGTATTAACTGGTCCCATTCACCACTTGAATTGGTGTGTCAGTGGAAGTTTTTTAACTACCAAAAACCCAGAGAATTTGTCTACAACTAGAAATTCAGACATGTTAGGTGTTCCATAAAAGCAAACTAGGGGGTCACTTGTCTAGAATGATCTAAGAAAGCTAATAACTAACCTCTTGTTCAAAATAAACTGACTTGTCTCAGAGTCTGAAATTCTATCCATGTTTTTTTCCTTTTCTTTTGGAAGAAACCATATTATCATAAACATTTTCTAATAGAAGAGTTGGAAAAGGTATCAGAGTAAAATATCATCAGCCATTCACACTTGAGCATGAATTAATTTATCAGATACTTTCCTTGGAGGTCAATGTTATCAAAATTCTAGATATTCATGAGATGAGAGTTTTGATGTGAGAAGGAAGCAAAGAGCCATTTTGTGGCAGAAGACTGTTTTTTACACAGATATACATTTTTAGAATGCCACAGAGGGTGGCTCTGAGAGACTCACTTAGCTTGGTAACACTCCATGATTAAGGCTTTTTGTATTCTCTTTCTGCTCTTCCTTTGGCCTTGATTCTCTATGTCTGATATCTAGGCCTTGGCATTACCTATAGGGTGGTAGTTTAACCAGATATATTAATTAAATTATTGATATTTCATTACTGGCCTCAGGACAAATGCATGTATCATCAGAAAACAGTAAATAGTGACATGATATTTCAAGTACCTATAAGGAAGACTATTTCTAATCTATTGATAAGATGGCCTAGGGAAAAGTGGACTTTCGGTTGCTCCTAAAAATGTAATATCTGAAAGCCTCTTACCTTTTGAAAAAGCTGACTTTGATTTTTTAATCTGTTGTCTCATTGGTCATAGATGAGCACCTTGTTTTGAAGTTCTTAAAAATGTTTTAAAGTTGTTCTTGGACCTATGAATCTTATCATGTCAGTGGCGGATCTCAAGAAGATCCCACCTACCACGTTCTGAGGGCTTGAGGTGATCTTCTCTCCTCTGGGTGAGTAATGTGTTTCAGTGTAGCCTGGCCCCAGGAGATGCCTGTGGAGGCAGAAAGTTGCATGCTACACTCGCTGTGGTACTAAAGACGCATGTTCTTGACATGATCTCCAGAGCTAAAGGAATGATAATATCTATAATGAGAATGAGCTGACATTCTGACTCATAGATCCTTTTCTGACATTGGAACTCTGCTGCTGAAAATGCAAATCAAAGCATTAGCTATACCTATTGGATCTGAGGAAAGAAATGCCCTCAGCTACTATTTAGCTGCAGATTCTCTGTCTTCAAATGGGTTATTTTGAGATTCTTTGCACCAAGAACATAGCCTCCACAGTGTCTCTGAAGGGTGCATCAAGGACCATTGAGTCCAGACAGAACTTTACTGACAGTTACAGAACTGGAGGGAGCCCCATTCCCTGGGACCTATTTCAAGGCTGTGTGCCCTGAATGATCCTTGAACAGATGTTATTATAAGTAATAGAAAGTCACATCAAAGGTTTGAGCTTATCTGGGTAAAAACTATTTTTAGTAAATTCCAAGAAGCAGCAAGGAAAAAAGCTCTTTTTTTGTTTTACACTTTGCATATAAAATATGCATATACACTTTGCATATTTTTTCCTAAAAAAGCATCAACTGTCTTAGATAATATTAGCACAATCTAAACTTCATGTCTTTTACCTCATATCACACTTACAGAGTCTCAAGACTTATTTTTCCATATTCTTTTAATACATTCCAGTGATTAAACGTTCGGGAAGTACAACTTACTTGATTTTTTGTAAGCAAAGAATGACTTCTTCTCCATTTAATATAATCTGATACCGAAGTTCAGGTTCGTATTCCTAAAAGTATTTAATGACATTATAATATCAATTTATATTTCTGAGTCTTTCTAAAATTATTATAATATACTGATATATGTTGCCTATATAGAATAATTATGAATATATGTAAGATAAAAACAGCTCTCTTATGCCCTTAAAATATGTAAAATAAAACATAAGTCTTATATTTAGTTGGATTTCCAAAAAGGACAATAACATGGTAGTAATACTGGAAGATTAAACTAACTCTAATATGTAAGCTAGGGACTAATCATTTGCCTAATGTACAGTATACAGTCCTGTGTATCCTAATGAATCACTAATGGGATAATAATAAGGTATATATTTTTATCATGTTAAAACCAAACCAAATATATTAAAGAAAACCAACCAATAGATAGCTAAGAATTAAATAAAGTAAAAATGATAAAATGAGGGACATATTGGCAACATTGTATGTGATAATGTTGAATTCTCCTTTATAGACAAAAAATGGCCAAGGAAAAGACAATTCAAAAAATTCTAAATTCAAAAAAATTTTGAGGGGACAGGGGTAAGGGTAAGGAGAAGACATGAGTTTAGTGAACTTGATAAAGAACTTCTTCAAAAATGGCTGCCTTTCCTGTACTCCTCCTCCCTCTCCCCGCCCAAAAAAGAAAAAAAAAAAAAAACCCTTAAAGAAATGTCCAAACCGTTATATTCTTTCTGATTAAGTGGGCAGTTAACTCACTTTCTGCTGCTTAATTGTAAAAGCTTTCTAAGAAATCCTATGGTCTCTCCTGGACGAAGGGGGAGATGTATATATGAGCTTCAGGACTAAACTGTTGCATTTTTTAATAATACTTTTTTCAATTACAGGGATGCAATATTATACTAGTTTCAGGCATACAATATAGTTATTAGACATTTATATAATCTAGAAGTGATCACCCCGATAAGAACTACAAGATGTTGACTGTGACATCACTTCTATTAGTTAAAAGTCTCTTTATTGTCTCAAGATAATTGTAAAATCCTACTGTCATTCACATCACTTACCTCTTTGGCAAGCTTCTCTGTCTGGTTGATCTGTATCCCTCTTTTTTGTACAACGTGTAGTTTTTTAGGATGAACTACTTCATAGAGTTTTAATTCAGGTGTTTGCTCTATGGCTATTGCTAGAGAAAGAGAGATAATATTGATATAAATATTGAAAAGATTTTGTTTTGTTTTTGGTTTTGGTTGGCCTGGTTTGTTGAAATGGCACAAAGACTGAATTCCCATGGAGAAGGTAAACATTAAGAAGAACAAATTCTTCCTTCTACTTAAATTTTAATAACAGATACTTATTTTTGTTCTCCACTCTCTCCCCACCCCATTCTGGAAAGAAATCATGATGATGAACACAGTTCTTCAGATAATCTCCCAATATGTGTAAACTTTGGGCCACCAAGCCCAGAAAAGGCATGTCTTGGATTAGAATAAAGATTATGGGAGCCAGGAAATACTCCTATAGTAATCCAGTTTCTTCTTCCTCTATAGTCCTCCTCAAAATTGTGGATTTTTCTCTCGTTTTTCTCAGAGATCTCTGATTTTTCTTTCTCTCTTTCTCTCTGTGGTGCAATCTCTTACTTCACCCTCCAAAAATCAAAATTTTCATCTACAGACAATACTTTAGGAAAGATTGTACTATGTTATTTTATTTCTCAGTGTAACAATAAAACATTATATTCTTTCTCTCATTGGAATTTGCCCACGAAAACTTTAGATTCACAGGAAATAAAGTTTTTGTGATCCTCTGTTGGAATATTTTAAAGCATCAGAGAACAAGTAAAAAAATTGTCTATAGATTAAATGTTCTTGATGCACTTGAAATTGCATTGCGTAGGTATTTTTCTATTTTGCTTGCATATAGGAAAATAATTCACATTGGAGCAAAAATATATGGCCTTAATTCCTAGCTAAATGACCTTGTAAAGGCCATTTTACCTTTCTTTCAGTTCACTTATCTAAAATAAAGGTTGGTATAAAAATTGAATAGTATAAAATATGTAAATTATTTAACACCAGTCTAGGAAGATGGCATATGTAAAATGGATATATACTTTATCCATTTTTTCTTTTAATTGTTCAATCATCCATGCAAGGTCTGTCTCATATTTAAATGTTCTTATTTCCATAGATCGGTGTCTCTGCCTGGAGACAGTTTCCCACTCAGTGTGACACTCAGTGCGACCTTCAGAACACCAAACAATTCTATACCTGACTGATGTGGAGAAACTAAAAGGAAATACTAAAGCAAAAAATCTCTTCTAGTCAGCCCCCAAAGTTCTGCTGTGATGCTGGCCTAAGAAGGATTCATTACATATAAAAAAAAAAGAAATTTATAAATATATTACTAAAAGTTCTTTATCAAAAAAGAATACGAATCTCGTTAAGTGGAAAGAATTGTGGGACTGATATTAAAGTAAATTTTAATAATTTTTAGTCCCAATTCTAGTACTATTTGGTTGTCAATTAATTTTTAATTTTGTATAATAATGCAATGCTGTCTAACTTAACTCTGATTTTACTTAAGAGCCATCCTTGTCATCCACCCTAGTGCAACCTTTGGATAAATTGTGTCCTCAGATAAATGACTGTCTTTTTATGGGGTAGAAAGTATCAATTCTATTCAAGGTAACATTGGAGATGGTTAGAAAATTCTTGAATTTTAGCCTGGAAGGTAATTTTCTGGTGTCATTAGGGTCTGTGTGTTTTAGAAAATAAAATTATAGCACATAGCACTTACAGAATTATTGAATGAGGGATAAAATTTCAGAGACATCTTAACAAAATTATTAGGCCAATCGCAATGCCTTGACTGTCATGCAAGCATGTCACTTTCTTAAGGTTACTTTAAAAAATGCATTAAATAATTTGATTTTTATGTAAAATGTCAATACATTAGTGCTTACCTTCAGTTTGTACGATGAGCCAGATGACAGAGAGCAGGACCAAAGACATGTTGGCGACTGCAGGTAGCTGGCTGAGAAGTCCCACACAGCATGAAGAGGTGGTCTCTCCAGCTATTTATCTTCTAGTTTTATCTTCCTCCTACTTCTTTTTACAAGTTGAGACATAAAATTCTCAAACCTTATTTTTGAGATTGGGGAATGTTTCCTAATGGTGTTGGGAAATTTCCAAGTAACTGCAGTGTCAAGATCATAAGAATGTTCCTCATTGATGAGTGGTGTTTATGTCTGTGGTTACAGCCTGCTAAGAATTGTTTCTGGACAGCTGTTTGGCCTGGTGCTCTTACAACAGAGGGAAAGTACAACTGGACTTAGATGCCCATGAATATATTTGCATACATCACTATTCCTGTTCAGTAACCTTACAGAAATTGATCTACAAAGTTAGAAAATATATGAGTGGTCTGTACATATTTTGAGAAATTAATTGGCACAGAGAACAAACATCTATAAAACAAGTACCATGCAAAGTCTTACAAGCTAGCATATTATAATCTCTCTGACTCTCAGTCTCTTTTTTCTGTAAAAAGGGGATGATGATAGCAATACCTACCTCAAACTTCTTATAAAATTCATGTAAAATAACACACACACATGCATGCACACACATGGAACTATAAAGAAATGTACAAATGTAAATTCTCTTAGTCTCAAAGAAACAATACTGCATATAAAATATATTCGAAGTATACTTCTATGAGCTCTACTGGAGGAAAATAACTATATTTTTCTAATTACAAAAATAACACATTTTCATGGTCATAAATACCAAAACTTGATCACCCAATGCCCCAACATCAAAAAATGACTTCTGTTAACATTTTGATAATTTATTTTATCTCATTTCTATGCATTAATAAAAGATGAAAAATAAAAGAAAATTAAATTTTATTAATTTTAGCTCTTATTGTATAAAAGGTTTGGGGAACCTATTTTTTTCCCATGGCTTTATGACATAAGTATTTTCATGTTGAATATTAAGATGTTATTTTAATAACTTTGGAATTTTGTTTTGCATGATATGTTATGTATCACTCTGTATATATCTTTGATTGTATTTCTTATTTTTTTTGATAAGTTACTAGAAATGGTATTATTTAGTTTAAAAAGGTAAAGGATTAATGCCAAATTACATTTCCACTTATAGAGTTTTCCCAATCTAAAAACATCTCTTTAACTACTGAGCATATTTTTACTGATATATTTGGGAATTTGTTAGCATCTAATTGTAAGTTTTATGGTTACCTCTCTATTTCTAAGTTGTTGTTGTTGTTGTTGTTGTTGATGTTCTATGTAATTTTGAGTCAGTTACATTTTCTCTATAATTTTATATTTATTTTGCTGGTCCAGAAGATCAACATTCTACGTAATTTATAGTGGCTATCATTAAATATTAACAAAGCATAATCTTCATTAATTAACATCCCTACCATCAAACAATGAAAGACTCTGAAATAGTTTAACTCTTATCAGCATCTCCCCTTTGCCACATATTTTGTTGTTGTCACATATTTTGGTTCTTCTATGATTTTGACCCCAAAGTCTGTCATTATTATTAGTTTTGTGTTTTATGTAGATGATCTATGTGGAATTACTTGCGTGTATACCACCTTCTTTGCTCACAGGTCCTTTAAGTATCGGTCCTTTTTAAAAAATAAATTCGCTTTGTGAAACATATTCTTTAAAAAATCCTTTATTAAAGTTTTCTTGAAGTAAGCACTTCTATGTGTTTTTATTTTCTGAGAGTATATTTATTTCACCCTATTCTTTAATGGTAGATTAACAGGGAATACAGTTATGGGATGACAATATCTCTCAGCATTTGGGAGCTCTTTTATTATCTCTTGGCAATTATTGTTTCTGTTGAAAATTCTGCTTTCAGTCTATTAACTAGAAATTAATTTTACTTATTAATTATACAACTGGTGTAAGATCAGTTAAATATTTATCAAGATCATGTTAAATCTGAGTTTATACTAAATTGATATTAGTTTATATTAAGTTAATATCACTTCCGGGCATTCCAAGATGACCCTGATACTACCCTTACTATTAAGATATTTCTTATTAAGGTATTTCTTAATAAAATAAGACTAATAATTGAGATAAACCTATACATACAGTTTATGAAAACAGTAAACATTATGATTGAGGATTACGCATTGTATTCAAGTAGATTTTAGATGAACGTCATTTGGGGAGTAGAGAGAGTCAGGTAATAGATACATATCGTCTGGGGAATAGAGAGAGTCAGCTGGAAAAGAAATAGGAAAATGGGTATTCTGGTGAGAAAAAAACTATATGAGTAAAGCCATGAGGTATGCAGAAAATCATAATATGTTTGTAGATCTACGATGTGTTTTCCATAACTTGAATATAACACATAAGATTAAGAAGTACAAATGGATAGTTACAAAACAGACATGGAGATATAAATTGTAGCATAAGGAAAATAGTTAATAATGTTATAATAAATACATAAGGGGTGATAACTTTGTGAGTTATATAAATCTCTAATCACTACGCTGTACAACTGAAACTAATATATTACTGTATGCCAACTATAATTGAAAAAAACTCATTGAATTATACAATGTAAATACAAACAACTAAGTGTCTATTATATTTTAATAAAGCCAGAAAAAAAAGTTGTAAAAAAAATAAGTAACAGGTATTTGAATAAAGCTTGTGAGATATGCAAGGGTCAAATTATGAAGAGACAAATGCTAAAGTCTCTCAAGAAGAAGGTACACATCTGAGAAATATTTAGCTCATAAAATTATCTGACTTGTTATTTGATTGGATGTGACACCTGAGGGAGATAGAGAAATCTGAAATGATTTCTAAGGTGCAGCTTGAACAACTATAGGCAACTTATAGATGACATCTTCCAATTTGGTCATTTGACAGGAGTTGCACTTTAGTTATACCCCTTAAAGGCAGGACATTCATCTCCTGGTGTACACTTCAGGAGCTCAGCACCTCGAAGATTATAGATGTTCAAAAATATTCGTTGAAAATTTGTACCATGAAAGAAGTTGGTAAACTGGACTATCTTCTTGGGATATTGATGTTGTTTATTAGATAGTTGAATATCAGGCTGTAAATTAAAACTGTGGAAATAACAGTGAAGAGATTGTTTACTTGATAACATCCATATGGAGCCTTATGAATGCAATAGCCAAGGATTGACTAAACATAGGACTTAATTTATGATCATGAACTAAGAAACCATGACCAACATCCTGACCACAAAGAATTTTATTCTCATAAAACTTACAACTTAACATTCTGGAATGTTTCATATTAAAGTACATTTGATGATTTGTGGCGGATGTTTAAACATTGTTTAACTAGAAATGAAAATTAAATAGCAACATGGACAAAATTACAATAATCTCTTAAAATATAAGAATTTTCATATACGTTATTTTACTTAGTTACCATAATAGATCCAAGTAGTTAGTTACAGTTAGAAGTGACATAGAAGGTATGTTAGGACTCTTTAAATCAGAATCAAAATGCTTAAGAAAAAAATAAGTTTTTGTTATTATATAACAGAAAAAATTAACAATCTCAATCTCAGTCTCTCTCTCTCTCTCAGAAGTCCAAGAGACCAAAGCAAAAATTGTGAGTTCTCTTAAAGGTTACAAATGGCTTAGAATCACTTCAGCCATACTCTATTGGGCCGGCCAA